GTGAAATGATTCTCTCGGTCAAGAACCTCAACAACAACGTAGGGTGCACACCATTCAAAAGTTTGAAACACATTAGTCCAAGGCTTCAATAGTCCAACCAAACCATCCTGCGGCATTGCATTCCAGAGTTGCAATCAACAATTAAGGCATGAGTTCCTAACAATTGCAAAATTGTAAGGAATCAATATCATCAGGCATGAATTTTGTAAAAAAAATCTGACAGAACGTTGTTGATTCAGAGTATTACAACCAACATACATCTTTTAGTTCATGCCAAGCAAGAAAATTTAGTGACTATTTGTTTCTTAATCGTGAAGCTCACTAGAGGTATAAAATTGACACTAAACACTGTCAATTGTTTGAAACGGCAAAAGGCAAACAACAAAAATCATTTACAACCGCTAACTCATGCAAATGCAAGAACAGCTTGAAGATGGTAAATACAACATCCAATAGACGTATCCAAGCAACATAAGAATTCTTAGGACTGCACATAGTATTAAGCAATTAGCAAGTTGCATAATGAGAAAGGAATAGCAACCTGCAATCATGGCGTTCCACGAGATGACATCTTTGACATAAATCTCATCAAAAAGCTTCCTGGCGCTCCCCACATCTCCTTCCTTGCAATATCCAGTGATCATGGCGGTGGATGCCATGACATTCTTCTCTGGCATCGCTGCAAACAGTTTTCTTGCCTCGTCGAGCATGCTGTTGTCAACATACCCACTTATCATCGCTGCCCACGACACTAAGTTCCTCTCAGGCATTTCGTCAAACACCGCACGCGCCCTACCCACCTCCCCACGTCGCGCGAGCCCATCAACCATGGTGGTGTACGACACCACGTTCCGCTCAGGCATTTCACCGAACAGCCTCTCCGCGTCGTTCATGCAGCCGAGCCGGACGAGCCCGGCAAGCATGGCGTTCCACGAGGCCACGTTGCGACGCGGGGTACGCGCGAAGTAGGCGGAGGCGGCAGCCAGGTCGCCATGCGCGAGGCAGCCTGCGACGACGGAGTTCCAGGAGATAACGTTGCGGGACGGCATGTCGTCGAAGAGGCGGCGCGCCGCGGGCAGGTCCCGGCCGACGCGCCAGAGCGCGGTGAGGAGCGCGTTCCAGGAGACGACGTCGCGGCGGGGCATGGCGTCGAACACCCGGCGCGCCGCGGCCAGGTCGCCAGCGCGGGCGAGGGCGGTGATGCGCTGGTTGTCGCGGACGAGGAGGCGAGAGGCGACGATGGCAGGAGCACGCGCTGGGTGCATTGGGACAGCATGTGTGTCGGTGTTGGCCGTCGAGCGTCGATGGAACTCGTATGGGAAAGCAAGCAGAGATTGCACATAATGAAAGAAGAAAGGGTTTAAGATTCCCTTAGAAAAAAGGGGGTTTAAGAGCATCTACAGATAAATTATGGCTCGTGGTAGTAATCGGACACTTGTCAAATTAGCACAATTACGTCCGGACATCTTATATTAGATTCTTAAATTCATATAAAGCATGCAAACAAAATAACCTACGTACTACATAGATGATCTAGTCACTCCTCGTTAAAGATGTCAATTATCTCCGTGCCGGCTCCGGGTACATGGGTGGCAGCTGCAGCTGCTCCG